TTTCCCCTTGGGTGCCCTGGTGAGCAGTTGCTCATGAAGCCCTAGATGTATTCCCCTAGTATAGCAATAAGCTGCTACCAGGTCCCCTCTCAGCCTTCTTATCTTCAGGCTGAAGAGTCCCAGATCTCTCAGCCTTTCCTCATATGGCTTGCTGTGTAAGACTCTGATCATACGGATAGCTCTTCTTTGGCCTTCCTCAAGCTTGTCCACATCCTTGTTAAAGTGCAGTGCCCAGAACTGGATGTGGTACTCCAGCTGTGGTCTCACCAGTGTTAAGTAGAGCGGAAGAATCACCTCCTTGGTTTTGCTGGAGATGCATCAATTGATGCATGCCAGAGTATTAATTGCCCTACTGGCTACAGCATTGCACTACCAGCTCATATTCATACTATGGTCTATTATTACCCCCAGGTCCCTTTCATTCGTGCAGCTGGTCAGTTTGGTGCTGCCAAACCTGTATGTGTGTTGGAGGTTGGTCATCCTGAGGTGGAGCACTTTACATTTCTCGATGTTGAACTTCATCAGATTATGATCCACCCAACTTGCTACCTGCCTAGGTCTGCCTGTATCTGTAGCCTATATTCAAGTGTGCCCACGCTTTCCCATAACTTGATGTCAACCGTGAACTTGCCCAGTGAGCTCTTCACCCCCACATCCAAATCATTAATAAAGATGTTGAAAAGTACTGGACCATGCACCAACCCCTGCGGGACACCACTGCCCACATCTTGAGTTGTCTTATAGTCAGGGTTGTCTTCCATTTGACACAGTTTACACCCTGTTGCACTCATTCAGCAGTTCTCATGCACTTACACTCAGCAAGTGGAACTGCAGTCTAAACAAGCACTGCATTTAAATTCACACACTGAAGAATACTAAAAGTAAAAACATCCGTCTTGAAGGTCAAATGGTGGGGAAGATTCTCATGTTAAGAGATGGCATGTAGTCTGACTAGGTCAAAGGCACACGTTCAATGCAATTTACCACACTGGCGTCTACAAAACGTATGTGGCAATTCACACAGACATCCAGAAGCTGTTTTCTTTACACATTATGTTTTACCATAATAGCCATTAAATAAAAATGTATCAAAAGAAGCAAGTATGAGACAAAATCTTACCAGAAACAAGATTACTTCAGTAAGGTTGCATACTACATCATATGACTATCCATCATATGGGATCACAAGATCCCTCAGTAACATACGCTTATACTCTATAGCTCTATATTGCTTTACAAATTGTGTAGACCCATGGCCTAAATAAAATAATGATTATTTGTAAAATAGTAACTGCAATCAGTTGATATTAAGCACCCACATCTTTCTCATATATTTCATGCTACATTATATAAATATATAAACGTTAACCTCATACTTCTATGCAGGTATTTTTATTTTCATTTTACAGATGTGCAAACTGAAACACAGAAACATTAAAGGCAAAACCTGCATTGGCTTCTTATTTTCAAGCACATTCTGAATATCTATACCTCCAACAGAATTATTACCATAAATGAAATGTTGAAGTACAATAGTATGCTTTTTTTAGTATTGCCAGTTTTGAAAGCAATAGCCGTGTCCACAAAAGTACAACTGGGCACTAGCCTTCTTAAAAGTTTACTTTAAATGAGTTTCTCAGCATATGTTATCACATCTTCTACTAAAATTTTAACAGGATATGAAATCATAAGTCAAGGTCAGTGCTCATATTTGATTAATATTCATAGCTCATATTGAATACTCATTTGCAGAGAGCTATATGAATAATTTGAACAGCAACTGGTTGATATATATGTTCTCATTTGCAGAGAAGAAGAAATAAATTAGCATCTAAGAGAAAAATATAATAAAGCTCTCATGTCAATTGAGCTCTCATGCCTTTGACACTGTTTCTCACCCCATGCTCATAAAAAAACAAGGCGACTGTGGCATCGATCCCTACACAGTCAGATGGGTGGCAAATTGGCTCGATGGTCGCACCCAGAGAGTGGTGGTGGATGGGTTGTTTTCAGCCTGGAGGGATGTGAGCAGTGGAGTTCTCCAGGGCTCAGTCCTTGGGCCTGTGCTATTCAACATCTTTATCAGCGACTTGGAGGTGGGCATGGAAAGCATCCTATCCAAATTCACTGATGACACAAAGATGTGAAGAGAAGTGGGCACACTGGAGGGGAGGGACCATATCTAGGTAGATCTGGACAGGTTACAGAGGTGAGCAGATGAGAATAGGATGGAATTCAATGCAGACAAGTGCAAGGTGCTGCATGTAGGGAGAAGGAACCCGCAGCATACTTATTGCCTGGGGAACACCCTTCTCAACAACGCAGTGGCTGACAGGGATCTTGGAGTCAATGTTGACTCCAGGATGGACATGAGCTGCCAATGCAAGGAAGCGGTCAGTAAGGCTAACCACACCTTGTCGTGTATCTACAGATGCATCATAAGCAGATCTAGGGAGGTGATCATTCCCTTCTATGCGGTGCTGGTCAGGCTGCAGTTGGAGTACTGTGTCCAATTGTGGGCACTGCAGTTCAAGAGGGATGTGGCTAACTATGAGAGGGTTCAGAGAAGTGCCACTTGCATGGTCAGGGGGCAGCAGGCCAGGCCCTATGAAGATAGACTAAAGGGCCTGAATCTATTCAGCCTCCACAAGAGAAGACAGAGAGGATCTGGTGGCCATCTATAAACTCACCAGGGGGGACCAGCAGAAAACAGGTGAGGCTCTGTTCCCCTGGGCACCACCTGGAATAACAAGGAATAACAGCCACAGATTGATTGAGAGCAGGTCCAGGCTTGATATCAGGAGGCACTACTTTACAGTTAAGGCTGCCAGGCTCTGGAATGGGCTCCCAAGAGAGGTGGTGCTCTCCCCTATTTTGAGGGTCTTCAAGAGGAGGTTGAATAGATATCTGGCTGGGGGATTATGATCCCAACACTCATTCCTGCCTGGGGCAGGGGGTCAGACTTGATGATCTGCTCAGGTCCCTTCCAACTCTAGAAACTATGAAGCAATCTTCTTGATATCTGAAATTTGCTGACTATGTAGGTGGACAGATACAAAATGAACTGGATGCCAAGATTAAGCACAACACCACTGTCATGAACCCAGTACCCTGCACGTGTAATTTCAGCTCTGACAGCTTGCATGCCAACAGATTTTTAACTGGTCATTAAGAAAAAAAATCTCATTAGAAAAGGACCATAAAATACGTATTATGTGATAAATTATAAGAAAATGGTAGTTTTGTGCCAAGCTTACAATGTTGGGCTGGAGGAATAGGAGAATGGGGAGAATGTTGTTCATGGTTAATTTTTATTATAAAACTGACTACACCTGTCAAAGATGGTTATGCCAACCTTGGAATGTTTTTGATTATTGAACAAGGGTGAGCAGTTATGTTAGCTGGTGGGTCACTTAATGAGTTTTGGTGTGCTGTCAAGGCCCGCACACATAAAATCTTTTAGAGAACATCATTTTCACAAATTATAGACAAAAAACACATAGAACTAACAACCAAAACACTTGTTATAAGACATTTAAATTTTATTTCAAAAAATAATTTTATTCCCAATTTTTTTTGAGTAATGTATATAGAAGTGATTACATAATATCTCAAAATAAAGACTCTTGTGAATTGTGTGTGGGGGTGTGCATGTGTGTGGGAAGGGCTGACCTTGCACTAGGTCCCAGGAGCTGGCCAAGGGTGGGGGGAGGAAGGGTGAGGGTCACAGAGTGTGTGCAGCCCACCCCTCACATCCAGCCCACAGCTGCCCCCGTGGTGCTCTACATGGGGCTGAGTACTCCCACACTCCTGTCTGCACCTGCCAGCCCTGGCCCCGGCCAGTGTGCACAGCTTCCTGGCAGAGTTCCCTCTAAGCTGCGCAGGCACGCTCATGCCGCACTATCAGGCATGCCTGTGCAGCCGTGCACACAACACAACTTAGAAGGAACGCTGCTTCCTGGTGGATCTAGTCAACTGGCAGGTGCCTGCTCATTGGCCAGATCCAATCAGTTGGCAGGCCAGATTTGGTCTGTGGGCCATATTTTGCCCACCCCTGTCCTAGAAAGACAGAATTGATTAATTATCAAAATGCAAAAGTGAATTCATTTGATAGCAGATGGCTATAGAAAAAAGGGGGTTTTCCCTATTTTTTGTAAGTACTGAACTGCTATTTCTGTTTTTAACATATACACTGTTTTCTGCTGATTACTATTCTGTTGTCCTGATGGTTTTTTTCAGAGAAGTCAGTTTCACTGTGTAACCAAAAAGTTTTTAAGGTTTTTTTAAATATTTGGCATATGAGCAATAAACCAGCTTTATACGGCAGGAAGCTTTAGGCAAACTACTTGCAAGGAGCACATTATAAGCATTCATGACGACCTCAGATTTTACAGCATGCCACTGCATGATTTCAGGAGCCCACAGTAATATAAAATATATTTTATTTTTTGACAAACTATCATTTGCAATTTTTAAGAAAAATAGAACGTAGGATTGACCCATTCCTAATGGTGGACCCCACAAATCTCACAGATGCTTGCATATGTGTTTTTGATGATACCTACTGCAAAATAAACATTCATAATTCTATTTGAACCGACTTGCCCAAAGTTCTTACATGTATTAATTATTCAGCTTCTGGCCATTATAAACATAACCAATTCCAGTACCCATTTACAGCTCTGGAACTGGATTTCTTTGAGATTCTAAGGTCCTTATTGGATTCAGATCCACACCCAACATTATGTAGTACGACTGAAAGTAACCTCAATTTCCTTGAATTATTACTCTGAAAATATATTTTCTTGTATTTCATTCTAATGAAACATTTATGCACTTCATATCACAAAATATTATTTTTCAGTTTCCATTTCAGGCATCCTACTATGGGGGGCCCCCAAGCATTGCAAGTGGAAAATATTGAGAGAGAAAGACAGCAGGAAGGGAAAAGAGTGTTCATTCAGACTGTTCAACTGCAACTGTTGTCTTTTTATTTTCAGAAAAATATCTGCTATTCTGCAAATGCTGACTAGGTGGTCTGGACTACCCTGCTGATGCCAAAGTATTTATAGATTTCACTCAAACAACAGTTCTTCAGACATGCTTAGCCTTGTACTTGGATGAACTAGAAAGTAAGGACCATACATCAATAACTGCTTTCACAGAGTCCTTTTGGATGCTATACTTTTCTCAGTCACAAGCCACTGATTTTTGTTTGGCTTTTTAAGAAGATTAGTTTCAGCTGCTGAAGTAAAAGGATGGGACAAGAAGAGAAAGCATCTCTGAAAGATTAATTTCAGTTTAATATTAACAGATATGTTCCTACAGGCATATTATGCATCAAAAATGCTAGTGCCCAAGTCAGTTATTATATACTCTGTAAAAAGAAGAAATATTTAACAGGTCTACAGTTCAACACCGGATTTCTGAAGGGCTAACTGTCAACAAAGGGGGCATCAGAAAAGCAGTATTAATATTTATCTTTACATTACATTAGTTAGGAGTAAATATACCTTATTCTACTGTAATTTATACTTTTGTTACCTATTAAACAACAATGCTGGAAAATGTAAACATTAAGGTTTCCAAATGATCTCCTTTATAACTTTCTCCTTGGATTCAGGATTAAATTATTAGTTCATCCTGTTGTTGCATCTAACTAGCTAGCTATCTTTCTAATAAAATAATATTTAAAGCTACAAGGGAAAATTGAAAATAATTTCCCAAACAAAATACACCAGCTAAGAAACACAAATGGTAACAAGCAGTAAAAGGAACACAGTTAAAAAGCAACACTTAAAATTGTCATTTGGATCTGGGGTATAACCACCAGGTGCTTTTGGAATGACCTAATGAAATGGGTCGCAAAGAAACGCGTTACTTGCAGACCTTAAACTGCGATTCAATGGCCCAGCAAAACATAAAAGTACGTCCTGTACTATTGAAACGGAACAGCCTCGATTCTGTTGATTTTGTGAGGCAGCCACACCACCGCAGAATCAAATCTCAGCAAGTTCGATTCCAAGATGACGGTGCAAGCAAAAAGCCAATGGGTGTCACTGATTTGGACATCGAGCCTCCCAAAGACATAGCATTTGTGACCGGACAGGCACAAACATCTAGGCACCAGAACTTGCCAAACTACCCTCTTTGTTTTCCGAGGGCTCCAAAGGGGCTTAAGAACATTGCTATTCAGACTTCTCCTAGCCTCAGGAAACACTTCCCAGTTTTTAGGAGGAAAAAACTGATAACAAGCAAGTCTTTAACAGAAATGCCAACTGAGCCTGAAAGCACTGTCCATGTCAATGGCAACCTTTCTGAACAGGATCTCCTGTCCTCACACTTTTCTTATTTAAGGATAACTGAACATTTAGAAGATGGATCTAAGAGAGACCAAATAACCAATGAAGTATGTCAAGGAGTGCCTAAAGCACAAAGCAATGGACCCATCCACCTGGATGCAGATGCTTTCTCAGTACTGGAAAAGGCAACTGTTTCTACCCAGGTGCCTGAATACATACATCTGAGTTCTCCACAGGCCAATAATGCTTCCATTTATACTCTGGACATGCCTATGGATTTAAGTGACTCAGCACATTCTTCTACTGCAATGAAACAATTGAATGAAAGTTGTATGCAGCCATCAAATTCAAAAAGATCTTACTTCTGCTTGGTGAATACAAGTAACTGCAATGAAGTTAATGCACAGCCTGATTCTTGTGAAGCAGATAAAAGTGATTCTGAGTTACTTGGATCAAATGAAGACTCCAGCACTACTCCATTATCACCTCCATCGAATCACAGTTCATCATACTGTATCTCCAGAGACCATCAACAGCTTGCACTGCCTGAAACAGATTCTGACTGTATGACACTGACTAATGATGATCAGGCAGTAATGTCATTGTCCAGAAGTAGTGTGTCAAAATCTGTTCCTTCATATCAAACTGAAACTGAGAAAAGTTCTACACAGTCAGACGTACCAGAGTATAATGATTGTTTAGGAAGTTTTCACATAAAGTCCTATCTTCCAAGGAGTAAAATAAAACCACAAACTAACAAAGAGATTAGAGAAATAAATCAAATTCACTTGGCACATGGTGAATTATGTGCCCTACAAGGCAGGCTGCAGTCCGTAGAAGAATCTTTGCAGTCAAACCAGGAGAAGATTAAAGTCCTCTTGAATGTAATTCAAGACCTGGAAAAAGCCAGAGCCCTCAGTGAAGGGTATGGTGTATTTTAATATTAAAAAGCTATTTTACTAAGTAATTTATCAAAAGTCAAAAGTAGTTGTTTGCTTTCTTTTAACCTTTGCTCTCAAAAATCTCTCTCTGAAATATTTTAAAAAGAGTTTGGAAAACCATATCTTATCTACGATTTCTGATACTTGAGCCATTTTAGACAAAAACAGATGCCTTCCTAGTTCGGCTTTACTTGATACTGAACGTTGGTTGAATTAGGGTTTATTTAATTCATATCTTGACTGAGGTTATGGTGTCATAAATATATTAGCACATGAATTTTATAAGTTGGTCTCAATTCAGTTATAGGCTGTCTCATACAAATGCATAAATTCAAAGGCATTAATAGTGCATATCAGACACCATTACAACAGAGCTTTTGTCTCACTACTACAGTTAAGTCTATGGCAGTTTAGCTGTACCAGAATTTTACACTGGCTAAGTGTACCTAATATCAATGCAGTTTATTTCAACAAAAAATGGTTCTGCATTCCAGGCCTTCCTTCCTGAGCAAAATAAGTTATTGGCCAAAGCACTACATCTACATGAGGGATTTCTGCCAAGACAGTTATGTGGGTCACATTTTATTAATCCCATTAACCAAGAAAACTAAGGCAAAAGAAAGGGTTACCAATTTAAGAGTGGTGACTTAAGAACAAGAAAAAGACATACTGGCAGGACAACAAAGTACATTTCTATCACTTGTACTCTGAACATTTTCATGTTTTGAGCAGGTGCCTGAAAATTTAGAACCATGCACATGCAGTAAAACAACATGTGAAAATTATTAACTAGAACATGACTGAGGAACAGCAAGCCAATGTTTTAAAATGACTGTTCTCCATACCAGTAAGACCCATATAAAGCAAAAATGTATGGCCTGTAGTAATGCTTCATGTTTTTCAGCAAAATCACTAGCCCCTCTTGCAGCCGTGTGATTTATGCATCTAAAATGTGCATTAGACTTTAGAGCTAGGTACAGATATTTAAAAAAGCCTGAGGGGAACTGATTTCAGTTACGCAGTCTTCTATAAGTGTCATAGTTTATATTGGTACAGTGCACACATTCATCCTTTGGTAGGGGGAGCAAATCTGAGATTGGGTTCTGCCATTTTTAAACCAGTCTGTATGTGCTGAACTTCTGTTATGTTATGGATATAGACCAGTTGTCTGCTGAACTTCTGTTCTGTTATGAGTATAGACCAATTTTCAATCACTTATACCATTAAAAGTGTAATGTCTGTACCTGGCCCAAATGGGACAGCCTGTCTATATGACTTTTAAAAGGCATACAGAAGTAGGCCCGTTTCCATTATTAGTATCTCAAAGGTGAAATGTGAGAAGCAAGGATGTTTATGGTATGAGAGTGGTTATGAGCCACATTTTTTCCCATGATACCTTTTACTGGACCAACTACATAGTTAGGGGAGATGTTAAGCAAACTTTTGGGCACAAAGTAAGCATCTTAAAATAGTTGATCACTTCTATACTGTTTTACAGGGTTTGTAATGGCTTATTAATACTCAAACTTAAAGCAGTGGTTCAGAATAGACTGTATCTGCACATTACAAATTTCATAGCTCTATATAAAGAAATAAATAATAATGAATCAGGTTGAGATGTTTTCTATTGTTTAAAAAATGTTACAAATAATTCATACCTAATTGCTTTCTATGAAAAATAAGGGTCTAATTTTATAAAGGTTAAATGCAATAATAGCACATGCAAAACAACTATCTTGAACACCCAATTTTTTTTCAGTTACCTCAATCAACATGAAAATAATATATGAAAATGAAATTGTCCAAAATGGACTATTTATAGGTATAATTGATGAGGATACACAAGTAAATTCTATATTTTAAAATTAGACCCTGTATGTCAACAGCATGTAATTCTCATATCTGGCTATAATTAAGGAGTGAATCCTACAGGATCTTTCATATTACTAAAAGATTCCAAAGCAGCAGAAATAAACTTTCACAAAAAGATGGGACCAGATTTGGGATGGAAGTTGGAATCCAAATGCTTGTAAAGAAAAAAAAAATGTAAAAAATGAACAAGAGTGGTACAAGATAGAGCTGAATAATCTATCCCTATAAATGTTATCTAGATCAGGGGTGTTCAACCCCCAGCACCTGGGCCACATCTGGCCCACAGTCCTATGTCTTCCAGAACACAGAGCTCCACAGGGGGTTGGAAATTTGATGGTGGGACAGCAGTGATATTAGCACACAGAGCTGGTTAGGGGCTGTTAGGCTCCAGGGCCCAAACCCAGTGTGGGATGCCAGATTGGAGTGGCACCAGGCTCCCCAAACCCCATGAGCTGAGGTGGGAGGGGGCACTGCCACACTCCCAAGAACCAGTCCTGGCACACAGGGCTGGGAGGGGGCAGTGCCAGGCCCCAGATCCCAGTTCTGGCTCTCAGGGCTCAATTTGGCCCACAGGGTTGAACACCCCTGCTCAGTAGATAGGCCAGGCTTCCTCATGCAGAAGTCTTCCATTCTTAGCTGAAATGCTTAGTCTGAGGGTTGGATTTGCCTTGGTGCATTTCAGCTATTTCTGACAACTAATTTTCTAGGCACACTAAATATGTATTGAAACCTTCCCATTCACAATATTAATATTATTTAATTGATGCATTAAGTAAATATATAATAAATTTTTAAAATCATTTAATCATGGATAATTTATTTTAATCATTATAATCATGTAAATATTTTTGTAAGAAGATACTATGTTCTAACTCATTAATTCCAATGAGCTTTATCAAGTTAGTTTTTTTTAAATGTTAAAGTCTCATCTCAAGCACTTCTCCACATTCCACAACTCCAAATTGCTCCTCACTCCCTAATCCTGCACCCAACATTTTCCTTATTCATTTTCATCGATTTTTTTCCTGCCTTTCAAAACCATCCCACTGTATAAACCTACTGCCCTTCAACACCATCCTATTTTCTCTAAATGAAAAACAGATGGGTATGAACCTGACATTAAAAAAACAAACATTTATAAACTACAAAACCAGTCTATCCTCAGTTGACAAAAGCCTGCAAATTCAAAAGACTCCATAAAGGTCTGACTATGAAACATGCGCTGTATGAATGTGCGGTATGCCAAATACTGACACATCGGGTTAAGGAAACATCTGCCCAAACTTCCTCATCACACTGAACAGGATTAGAGTGACCATCACTTATGAAAGCAAACTTCCTAGTATTTATAGATCTGAATATTCAAGAGAACAGCAGCACTGTCAGTTAAAACATAGATCAAACCATATGTACTTTCTTCACTTTTATTCTGTTAATGCACTGTTGAAGACTGGGATACTTATGAGTTTCCTAGCTGGCTCTGTTCAAGCTTCAATCCATCTTTCAGAATTCTTTCAGAATTTACCGACTATGATAGTAAAACTGTATGGATGTAAGATTTTTTTTGTTTGTTTGTTTTTAGCAATACAGCTACATGTGTACTTGTGTTGAGAAGAACAATGGCAAGGTTTATTTTGCAATATATCCCTACTGAAAAGAATAGTCAGAGATTAGCTCTCAGAAAAGCCATCAGATCATAATTTAGGGCATCTTTTAGGCCTTATTAACTCATTATTCAGTTAAACTGCATTAAACTTAATGGACTGGATCCTCGAGATGTAAATGGCCACTAAAGAGGGTTGCCTGTTTCGTGTTACTATATCATTACTAAGATTGAAGTCATTTGTGAGAGAACTCTAGCCTGGCCATGAATATATCCACTGATAGCTAGTCTACAACTGTGCCAGTTTGCTCATTTTGTAAGGACAGATAGAAAAAGATTTGTTTCCTTAATTTAATTTGCAAATATAAAAATTATCACCCAGCAAGAAGATGTTGAAATAAGAATCCACAAAATAACTTATTTTTGATGGAAGAAATTATGTTTATTTGCTTTCATGGGCCATTTAAAATTTCAGTCTGAAAGGGAAAAAAAAGAATGAGTGTGAAAAAAACAGCAAAAGGAATAAAGGGAAAGGGTAAGTTTCCATATACAGAGAGCATAGATCTTTTAAATACTTTCAAACGTGTTTACATAAAGATGCCTTCTTGCAACTAAAGTGTTCTTAGAAGAGTTAATAGCTATATTGAGTAGCCAGCCTTCCAGAGAATCTTATATAATGTAGTTATGACAGTGCAAGTTTAAAGACAAGTTTAAAGACAAGTTTAAAGACAGGTTAGGATGAAATATGAATATACTGTATTCTTTGACTAGCTTAAAATCAGATGCTTTATATAATAGATTTTGCTGCTTAATTTATGTTTAAAATAACAAAAATGCACAGAGAATGGCATGTTGTGATAAGAGTCCTACCTTGTCAGCTAACAGGTTTTTGTGAATTGAATGAACTATTGTCCATTGCAGGCGCAACTTCTACCGCACTGGCCAAGACCTCAACAACTGCAGCACTTGCCAGAACACTGCATGTATCATTTACAGGTACTTCACTACTTCATGCTACTTGATATAGTATGTATAGATCTTACAACAGTGTAGCTGTGCTATTGTAAGGCATAGGAAAAAATATTTCTCAATTATTTAGAAAGGGTTCAATGTTTAAGAAAATTAAACCAGACACTTCCGTTGACATTACATAGCATCATTTTCACTACCATGCTTTGAAATCCTGTGGAGAATTCTCTATCGATTGGTATTTCCTTTGGGTGTTACTTCTTTAAAGCTTATGTTTTTAAATGAAATTAGATTTTAGGACAGATGAATAATCTGCAGGACTAACTTCTTTTCCAGACTCAAGTTATACTTGCTGTTTCATGTGAAAAGTATGCAAGTATAGTACACAAATGAAATCACATTTCAATTCAAAGAATGTTATTTTCTTTGAAAGAGTGCAATTTATTTATTTTAATTAATCCTATAATTAAAGTTTAACTTAAATAGTTAGTTGTAGCCAAATAACTTTGCAGTACTTTCTGGAAGCAGTGAATATGCAGGTTTAAATCCATCAGCTCAGTACAAGCTTGTAAATCTCTCTTGATGCTGGCTGGACTCAAGAACCTAATCATCAAGGAATTTAAATGGCTAATATCCATTGATTTCCTCTTCCTTTAGAATTGTATTTCAGTTGGCACCAGGAACCTGAATTCACTTGATATATGCTATTAACACTCTTTGTGACATAAGATCAGCATCAAGTATGTGCTCATCTTAAATAAAAGTAAGCAATTGTACAAGTATGTATTTTCCACAGCTAGGGATCCTGGATGTAACTTACAGTTCACAGCAAGCATCATGATTTTTTAAATATATCATTACAGAATTTGACAGTAAGTGACAATTGTAATATGGAATACATAGAGGGGGGGGTTTGTGCGTGTGCTCAGAATTGGAGATATTAGGATTGTGGTTTTTATTATTTTTAGCTATTCAATTACTACAATCAGTATTACTTTAATTGAATACAGTTCTAGTTTGGATCTGTTTTCTAGATGTTTCCCACTATTTGAAGAATGTTAGGCTACAAGATATAGTGCTGAGATAGAACTGCTACATACAGTTGGATAAGGGGAGGCAGTTTTATCACAAACACAGACAGATTGCTGCTTTGGTGCAGCTCTTGGTATAGGATGCAAACAGCAGCTGGAATGACAGAACAAGGATCAGCTGAGGCTTAGGGTCTAAAGATATGACAATAGGTTCAAAATAAATGTCAATACCACATGACACATACTCTTTTCATATAGATTGTACTTTAGGATTTTTTTTTCTTATCACTGTTCATTTAAGGGATGACAGTAACCTCTCCTACACTTTTCTAATGTGCCACTACAAAGCAATGGTTTCAACAATACTCAGTTTCATTCACTGAATCATAAAAAAGACTTCTCATTCCCATTCAAGGAGGAAAGTAGAATTGGCAAAGAAAGTTCTGCATCTGTGGCTTGTATAAAAGCTCAAAGAACTATCCCCCTCATCACCACCACCCTCCAAAAAAAAAAAATCACCTAAAACAAGATGCTACACAGTGCTTAATTATTAAGAACACTTACCTATCACTTTTCAGTGAAGCTAACAAAAAAAAAAGGAAGTTTCATAACCACTCTCAGGCAGATGGAAAGGAATAGATTTTTAATACCTTCAATCCTCGGTAGGTATGGCTGTGGGAAAATGCTCACAGCCCTTAGTGGCCAACTACTACTCTAAGATGAGTAAACAGAATTGTGCTGCTCTATGGCTACAACTCTTAAATCTCTTGGTGGTCTGTGGAAATAACTCTGAAGGCAAGATATAAGTTTCTGGCTGCAATTTCTTTGTGCACTGATATGAAGCCAGAACTGGTGGAAGTCTATGGGATTGTAAAGCTTTGGAGAACTGATAAATAGATGAGTCAAGGTGCCAGCCGACTACCTAAATTACAAGCTTACCACCTTCTTTTTCTGAAGAAACAGTACATAATTCATTCATGGTTTTAGTTTACCAAATTAATATAGTTCCAAGAAAAATGAATTTGCTATATTACTTACAAAATATTTTTAACAGAATTGCTTACATTAGTATATATATTTTCTAACAGAAGAGGTACTTTTTGGTTCCATACAGGAAGAATTCCTTGTCTGTTACATAACCTTCTTTCAACATACAAAAATCATGCCAGGACACACTATTATTCTTCTAGTTTGGAAATAATTAACATAACTTCTATGATTTTCTGCCTTAATGGTCTGATTCTTAACATTTGTTTTCCAAGTTCTCCAAATACAATTGAGGTTTTAGTCACATTTTTTTTCATTATTATTTGAAACTACACTACTTCTTGATACCAACATTTCAGCATTCAAATAATTAGGACAGGAAGGCATTTGTTTTGATGAAAGAAGAATAACATTAAAATAACATTACAAATCAGCTATGGTGAGAACTTAGAACTCTCATTTTACATTTCAAATTATAATAAAGCTTATAAGATACACTTCTACGTAGATCTAATAAGCTAATGAACAAGTGATAGGAGACATCCTTCTGCTTAGTTAAACAATCAACAATATTATGACAAACAGTTATGATGACTTTCATACTGTACAAAGTGTTCAGAAATGTTATTGATTGCACAGTTCTGTATTCATGTTCTGTAATTCCTAAAACAAAATTACAAGAAGAGTTTCAAATTACTAATTATCCAAGCTAAAATAATTTAAAGTAAGAAATGTTGTTGTAAGGATTCAGCGTTTTAGAACTTATAAAAAATGTTAAATATGGTATATATGTTGAAAACTGGAAGGAAAGTCAGACCACCAGCACACAGATAAAATACCTGTATGTCCTTTATTGGCATGGAGGCAAGCAATGCAGCCTCTCTGCCTTCTTAGGTCTTAGCCAAGATTGAGAACTTGAACAGTCTAAACTAGCTGGAGCCCAAGTCAGGCAGTACAAGAGAAGTATCTTGAGCATACCAGCTACAGAAGAGGTTCACACAGTTAAGACAAAATGATGGGCATGTGGGATTAACAATGTCTCCAACAGCCTACTAACGAGAACCAAAGCCCTAAATAAAGATATGGGCCAGGAATAGATGTTCAAAAAGCCTGAGGCAGAAGCAAAAGTTATGTACTTTAAGTGCCCTAGGTTAGATTGGTAGTAAACAGAACACAAGTTCATCCTTTGGTTGGGGGAAGGGGGACCACACGCAGGCAGCCTCCACTGGGTGAGGCCAGTTGTGCCCACTTCTGCACACTTCCCAGCTATCTGCGTGGGTTGCCAGGGACCGCTGAGCACAGCTGACTAGCTGTGCCACCTCTGATTGGCTGCTGGGCCCAGCTGAGCAGCCCTCTCCTCTCCACCCCACCTCCGCTTCCCCTGACAGCATTAGCACACAGTGAAAGCAATCCTGCTTGGCCATGCCTGGCAACCCTGGAGGGACTCCCAAACACCTACACAGGGACACCTATGCCTCTGCAGGTGGGCACAGTCCCAGGGAGCAGGACCAGGCTGCTGGGCACAGCCAAGCACCTCTTGCCACCCTCCTCCCCTGGCAGTGTCAGCCACTGTGCTGACAAGGGTCCATGAGAGCTGGAGGCAGGGCTGGCTGGTCACTCGGCCAGAGTATCTAAGTGCAGGCTGGTTGCTAGCATGCCTCCCTGAAAGGTGAGATTTGCGGGGGGCTACAAAGGTGCCTGGGAAGCCAGAGGACAGGGACCTAATGAGTCAGTAGAAGATCTGGTACAGAAGTTAGATAGAGTGATCTAACTTAAATCAAGTAAGTCTGATACCGTATCAATGCAAGTCTATCTTAGATCAGATTCTGTCTTTTTAAAACCACTCTATGTGCATTGAACTTCTGTTCTGGTACAGGTACAGACTGGTTTCCAATAATTTATACTGGTATAAGTGTAACATCGATACCTAGTCATGACATCTAACTTCTCTTTCTCGATGCATTGCAATGGCAGGCAAGTTACTTGTAATAACAGTCCCTAAATTTGTTTCTTTTAAGGCTGGTAAGTAGTCCTGCTCTGGGGACAGGCCACTTCTTATGCTGCCCAATGCAGTATTACTATCAAATTTTAGGGCACATAGGAAAGCTAAGGCTTTTCCTGAGAGAACATGAATAAAAGGATTAGTATTTATCAAGGGGGAAAGCCAGCAGAAAGGAATTTCACTCCCCCCACATTAGCTTGCATGCTGTGGAGTATTTTCTAATTCTGTACCTTCACTCAATGACTGTGGCATTAGGTATATTCAAATAATAGTCAAAATATACATATTTTGAAAAGATATTCCTTTTTTCCTTACAGTTTTCACAGAGCTAAACTTTTTTTGCCTTATTTTTAATTAAATTATCTTAGTGAGTTGAAATGCTAATAAGAAAGCATACAAATGATCTGAGCAAACAATTGTCTCATTTTAATCCAAAGTAGCTAGAAAATTTTATTATTTGCTTATCAAATCTTAACAGAATGTTCTCTAAGGTATAGACAAGCCAAGATCAAACTTATCTTGTTCAGCCACCTTTCTGCTAAAAATCTCATTATGTTCATCTGAAAAACTAGTGCAATAAATGAAAAAGGTACCTGAGAGACTATCCTCAGGATTTTCATTTTTTTCCCCTATGAGTTAGAACCAAAATAAATGAAGGTGGCAATATGTTTTAGGTGTTTGTGAATAATTTATCTCCTTGTAGCCAAAAAAGGAATGTCACAGGAATAAGGTTGTCTTGTTTATATGTCATAACCAACCCTAAAGAGATATATCTGACAACGTCAACATTAATATTTGCATTTATGAAAAAAGAAATATTGAGATCAACACAGAGCCATTTCCAAGAGGTGCTCATGACCTTAAATATGCCCCAAAATTGCAAGTAAAACTTCTGACCTAGTTTATATTGACTTGATCCTGCAAAGTGTATAGCATTCCCAACTGAATTATTGCCATCTATGATAAGATGACTGGCTCTACAGGCGTAGGGCAAGCAGTGGATACGATATACTTTGACTTTAGCAATGCTTTTGATACAGCCTTCCAAAACATTCTTGCAATCAAGCTATGGGGTTGGATGAATGGACAGTAAGGTGGATAGAAAACTAGCTGGATACTCAGGCTCAAAGCATAGCAATCAATGGTTTGACATCTAGTTGGTAGCCGGTATCAAGTGGAGGGTGTCAGGAGTCAGTCCTGGGGCTGGTTTTGTTCAATATCTTCATCAGCTATCTGGAAGACAGGATGGAGTGTACCTCCAGCAAGTTTACTGAAGACACCAAGCTGGGGAAAGTAGTAGATATGCTGGAGGGTAGGGCTAGGATTCAGTGAGACCTAGAGAAATTGGAGGACTGGACCAAAGAAATCTCATGAAAGTCAGTAAAGACAAGTGCAAAGTCCTGCAGTTAGGACAGAAGGATGCCATGCACTGCTACAGGCTTGGAACCAGCTAAGCAGCATCTCTGCAGAAAAGGACTTGGGGGTTATAGTGGACCATAAGCTGGATATGAGTCAGCAGTGTGCCCTTGTTGAGAAGGCAGCTAACAGCATACTGGGCTGCATTAGTATGAGCACTGCCAGCAGACTGAGAAAAGTAATTATTCCTCTCTATTCTGCACTGGTGAGACCACATTTTGAGTAGTGTCCAGTTTTGGGCCCCCCACTACAAAAAGATGTGGACAAGTTGTAAAGAGTCTAGCGGAGGGCAACAAAAATGGCCAGGGGGCAGGGGCACATGACTTGTAAGGAGAGACTGAGGGAACTGGGCTTATTTAATTTGGAGAGAACGGAGGGGGAATTTAATAAAAGCCTGTAACAACTTGCAGGATAGTTCCAAAGAGGATTTAGGTAGACTGTTCTCAGTGGTAGCAGATGATAGAACAAGGAGAAATGGCCTCAACTTCTGGCAAAGGATGTGTAGGTTAGATATGAGGGAAAATTGTCACTAGGAGGGTAGTAAAGCACTGGAACAGATTACCCAGAGAGGTTGTGGACTCTCCATCATTGGAGGTTTTTAAGACCTGACTAGACAAAGCCTTGGCTGGGATTATATTATAGGGGATGGTCCTATTTTGAACAGACGGTTGGACTAGATGACCTTCTGAGGTCCCTTCCTCCCTAATTTTCTATGATTCTATGAATGCCTAAGATCTTGCAAATTCTGGGAAACAAGAGGAACTGTGACAGATCTAAGTTACAGAAGTACAGAAGAGAGGTACAGTAAAAACAAGCCAAATAACTTGAAAAAGATATACATAATGATTTATCATCTGAAGTTTGAAAACAAAGGAACCACTGCTGCCTTCCTATCAAATATCAGAAACCTCAACTGAAGGGAGAACTGTATCTCCTCACTGGTTTCCACTTTATCTCTTTTTTTTAACCAAATGTAATTAATTACCCAAGCTATAAGGTAGGATGAATAAAAACAGCCCCCCTGGTGTTTGTACCCTGACATAACATGGTGTATAGGAGAATGCACACCAGTGCACCACAAGTGGCATGGGCAGGTGCTATGTGGTGCACAAGTGCCAGGCGCTCAATAAAGGGAGGTGGCAGAATGGAGACAGGGATCAGATCCCTGGAACAAATCTGGGGCATGAGGCTGCTGCTGCAAGAGATGGAATCAGGTATCACAGCCAAGAGCCAGGTTAAATCCATGGCCCTACAACTGCAGTAATTCAGGGCTTTGAGCCTTCATTGGTTACATAAAACAGTGATGTTTGCAGAGCCAGGAAAAGGTTAACCTGCCTAATGGTCCTGATATTTCCTCTTGCAGAGTGTCCTGCCTCTGCCCCACTAGTGCGGCCACAGCTGGAGCCCTCCTGCCTACATGGGCCCCTACTCCCCTGTCTCCACTCTGGCAGCCCAAGATATAAACTCTATCAGTTATGCTTCTGGGGAGGCGGTAGAAGTAAGAGGGGCACTTTGGGAGGAAGAGAGCTTAACTAGTGGCACACCTGCCAAAAAGTATGGCTTCTACTGGTCTGTGGTCTAAACATGAGACTGAATGACTCCTAAATACAAAATCATACTCTAACCTCTGATTGCTGTGTCACCTCAATCATAAAATTCTCTCAGCCTCAATTCCCCCCATCACAATTAGGAAGAATCACACTCCATTACACTTTGTAAAAGTGCCATCAGGGTACAATGATATATATGTGTAAATAAGCTGTAAAAGGTATGATCAGTAATAACATAAGCCAAGCAAAAATAATAATTAAAACAAATGTGACAGCTGACAATTTAGAAAAGGTGCTCTGAGATGCCAAAATCTCCTAACAAAAATTGTACTTTGCTGATTCTACAGTGTAATTTCTATTTTTAGTTACAGCTAATTAAACCACTGAACAACAAAGTGAAACATGCCAACAAACACTTTCTGACATCTCTCATGTATAATGACTCACTAAACGCCAGCTCTAGAATATTAAGTCATTAGTAATGCATTACCCTTGTGCAGAACAATCACAGCTATAGCTCAGACTCGGCCCATTTTAGTCCTCTCCATCACAGATTAACCCAGAGGGCTTTAGAGAAAGAAAATTATGGACAGATTAACTTGATTTAAAGATACTGGTCTAAGCCTTAATTAGAGAAGCAGGGATATGCATTACAGCACAAGTTTATAAACTAAGGCGATGACAACCCTGCTATTTTCATCCTTGTCAATAGACTGCTCTTTTTTAAAGCTTTCATTGCAGTGACTTTGTGGTTAGTAAAAAGAAAGATAATTTATTGAGCCAACTATTACTTCTCCTTCCCCCCCCATCACAGTAAGGTTGATTCTGGACTGTAAATATGGTGCATTTCTGATGTGTTGAAGTTAATTTAAAACTGTTGTAAGCAGTACTGAAGTTTTGCTTTGCAATTCATAATTATCTGGTAGTTCAGGATTGTTACAAAATGTGAGTTTTCATAACTTTATTTTCAAACAGTATGTGCAGTGTCTAGCATATTACATGATATTCTATAGGACTTTGCAGGATTAGTCTAAGAAGTAATAAAATCTAAACATTATGTCTTCTTGTAGATATTAAAAATAAAAAAATTAAAAAATGGTGCTTTACTTTAAGCTTGGCACATTCCTGTACCAAGCCCTACACATTTCCAGAAAAGGCAGCGCCTTAGCTGGACCCAGCTCACTCAACGTCTGTAAAGATCAGGTGCTTTAGTGCGGGGTGAGGGGGTGGCACTTTTAGCTAACAGGTGACTGAATCTGCTTTAGCTAAAAGTGCCAAAAAGCCCCATTGAAGCACCTGATCTACACAGACACTGTAGAGCCAGATCACAGTAATGTGCTGCTTCTCCCAGTAAAATGAGGTTTGGGGTTTTTTTTCACGTCTTCAAGCAGCCTAAAATGTAATATTACTGGCATATATTTTTTCTAATGAGAATACTTCAAAAATCTTCATATTTTTTGTTTGGGATGCATGGTATTTACTCCAGTTACAAATGCACAAAACATAACAATAATTTTAGCTATTTAAGCAAGAGCTAAGCACAAATTTGAAAAGATATTAAATAGTTTAGTATACCTCAACTATATATCACATATACATATATATCTTTATCTTACATTACACAAGTTGTACTGTCTAGAAATCTAACTAGGTGAGTACCTAATTAGGAAGTGCATTTTAAATGAAAATGTACAATGAATTTCCTTTAAGAGAAGAAATGCTCATTACTTATGTATTACTCCAGGCCAAGGAGCACAGAACAAGCTAGTTTTGTTCAGCCATACATAATGGGTACATGGTGCCACCTGGTTCTAACATTAAAAAATCTGGCAATTCAGCACAAGTCAAAATAACTTATCTACACAAATCATCCATTTTTAAAGTAGACAGAGGAAACAAGTAGATTACATCATTCTCTAAATGAAATACCATATTGACTTGAATACAAGATAATCCTGAATATAAGACAACTCCCCAATAATTAGATTTTATATGTGAAAAACTTATAAATTTGTTATAATTTTCCAGGTACAGAATCTATTTATTGGAAGTAAGAATTTTTTCCTCTTCCACTGCTACAGCATGGAAAATAAATCTGTGGGGTCAGGTAGTCTCCCTGCCCTATGCCCCCTTAACTTCTTCCACCTGAGGCCCTTATCCCCTAACTTACTGAAAGACCACGATCTCCCGGAGCACACAGAAAGTAAGGGGAAAATATGAAAATACTGACCATGAAATAAACATATCTGTAGTAATCTGCATATAGGCAACTTACTACACATATCCAAAGTTCAGCCAGAATTGATGCATTTTAACTTTTCTGAAACTGCTGGAAGTTTTAGTACTTTTGTCCTACATGTACTCCAGATACACCCCCACAAAGGATCCATGTGCTAATGACCCCACAAGTCATGAGTGGAGCCAGATGTTCTTGTCATGAGCAGGGATCCAGGTTTTCTGTTTCCCACAGAAAAACAGAGAAAACTATCGAGTTTCCCTTTTTATCAGAGAAAATATGAATTTCTTCTTTTAGCAGAGAAACCTGTTGATTCCCTGCTTTTGCTCCAGCCTACAAGAGCTGTTTGCAAACAGGGTGGAAAACCCCCAGTTCTGCCCAGAAGGGGAGGGAGCAGAGGGAAGGGTGGGGCATGAGACTCTCAGTCAGCCAAGGCTCGGCTCGGCTCAGCTCAGCCTCACTCTTGACTCCTGGAGTCTCTGCGGTAAGTGGAGCTTACATGGGGCTGGGGGCCAGGGGACTCTCTGGCAGGGCTGGAGGGTTGCGGGTCATGGCTGGGGGCACCGGCAGGGCTGGTGGGGAGCCAGGAGCCATCCCCACCCCCACCTGAGCAGGCAGCAGCATTGGGGGAGCTGGCTCCATGCTGCTTCTGCTGCAGCTGCCTGTTGTTGTGGGGGCAAGTGAGGGGCACCAGCAGGGCTGGGAGGGCTTTGGGGGCAAGTGAAGGGTATCATCAGGGCTGCACAGACTTGGGGGTAAGTGAGGGGTACTAGCAGGGCTAGAGGGGGCTGCAGGGAGCTTTTAATTTTAATAATGGATTTTGGGTTTTTTTATCAGAGAATTTATTATGTTTTTATCAGAGAAAACCAGGATCCCTGGACATGAGTCCTTGGATTCTCTAAAAAATTGTGTGTAGATGAGACTTGGAGCAACCTAGTCTGGCTCCACCTCATGGAGGGTGCAGCACACTAATTATTAGGGACTTACCCAAATCATGAGATCTGGCAAACTCCATGAAATCTGTGGGAAAATAAAAACTTATTACAAATAAATGCTGGCTCCCCAGTGGGAACCAGCAGTCCTCCCAAACTCACAGCCTGCCTGTTTGAAGGGTGGAAAGAGGCTGCCAGCATGAAGGTGAGCAAGCAAAATGCCTGTTGCCTCCATCTCTCACAGCTGATTGGCTGAGAGGCCTGCCTTTCATGCAGCCCCACCCCACTCCAACAATCAGCAGGGAGGGTGCGGCCATATGAAAAACACCCCTCAGCCAATCAGCAGTGAGGGATGGAGCTGTACAATGGACAGCCCTCTCCACCAATCAGCTAGAGGCATAGGGAGGCCCGGGCCATGATAAGGCCTCAAAAATGGCAGCTGGCCCTGTGACCTGCCCATGAAATCATCCAGCTGTTCTCAAGTTGGGTAGACCCCTACTAATCATATATGCCAGGCTGAGAGGGAGCAACAGAGGGATTCTGGGTGAACTGCTTGCTACTCCTCCCTTGGAGATGTTTGCCAGACATTTAAGGCTGGTGAAGGAACAGGAATCACTGGAAATGGGAAGAAAGATAGAACTCAGCTGTTGGAGTAAAGAGGAAGTCAATATGTATTCAATGTAGCAGCTCACAATGACTTAAAAAGAGTTGATGTTGAGGAGAACTGCATGTAATGGGCACTACCATATATCTTATTCAGATGGGCTGCACTGACCTATCCTTGTGGTACTTAAGGGTGGAGACCTTTGCACTACAGACAGGTCCCCTATGAGAGCCTACTATAGCCTCCCAATGGGACGATTTCATCTGCACACTTTATTTTATGGAGATTGGGGATTTCTCCCTAGCTTGCTCCTTTGGTCTTTTGCCTATGAGCAAGCAAGACTTGGAGGCATCTCAACCCCAAGATCTCTGGGTTTGGGACTTGCACATAGGATGCCTGTCGTGGATTTGGCAGTATATAAAGTTACCACTGGCAAGTATCTTACCTCCCAGGCTATTCAGCCTGGTACACCACATGAACATAAATGACTAACCTCTGCTCAGTCAATGGAATTTGGAAATGATTTGGCTAATTTGGCCTGAGACATGAAGTAATCATAATTAAAAAAACTAGCATCTTTGCCCATAGTCTTGTTCAGTATTGTGTTGGCTGCATTTAATCAGCTTCATAGTTAGTTTCCATTACTGAGCACATGCTGCTTTTGACAATAATTTTATTACAGAAAATGTATTTAATGAGGTTTCCTTGTATGCAAATATCAGGTGTGTGTATGGGGGGGGAGGGGATTCCCCATGCTGTTTGGAGAAAAACCCTTGTCCTCTATTTGAATAAATACCTATCAACATGTAGTTTAACACCAAGCTTGATTGATGCACAGCACTAGAAATCCCAAAGAATGAGGACAATTATTGCAGGTACTTTGTTTATTTTAGTGTGTATTGGTTTGACTCTTAAAATTGTAGTAATTGATTAGAGACTGATTTTTTAAGTGGTAATGGAAACTTGGCAGCAGAATTATGAAAATAAAAGTTTGCACAAATAAAATGAATTAAACTTAATTGTTTAAAAATACATTGTCATTTGAAAATTATCCATGATTATTAACTGACTGGGTTAAAAATGCTAGCAAACAAGGGAATCAAAACAAGTGCAGAAGAACAGGAATTATTTGGTCCAGGATATTTCACTTTTTAAAAATTTGTTTTTTTCCCAAGGTGAAATAATAATTACACTGCAAAATACTTGCCAACTCAGTAACATTATTAATATATTAATATATTAATACTATAATAAGCTTACATAATCTGGTACACAACATGTCTTGAAGATATCTAGTGATATTTATGCCAAATTATACTAGGAACACAAAGGCTCTGTAATTTTTTACTTATTTGTTTTAATTTTTAACAAAACCAAAAGGGCTTATCCAATAGCTATAGGTGCCTGTATATATTAATTAAAATATTACACAGAAAATAAAGCCAGTCCAATTCAATCTTACAACAAGATGCATAATTTACAAATTCTTCATTCTCAATCAAATTCCTGCCACAGCACCACCCTTCACTTAACATACCAGAAAACAGAATAATAGTGCAGTGAATCCAGTGTGACCACTCTACCCTGACAGACTGATACTCATGTAAATTCTCCAATAAACTGTAGAAGAATTTAAAGGTAAATGTATTGCAAGCAAGTTATGTCATGTTTATGTATAGCTACAGCAAACCTTCAGTTCTCTAGGGGCAAATCAGAGAATGCAAATATACTGTGGAAAGTGATGAACTTGCTATCAGTGTGATGACTGAACAATGAAGATGGAGATCACACTGTATATGTAATGAACATACTGTTAAACTGAAGCATATTCCAAAGGAAACGTTTCTATAATAGTATTAAGCATCCCCCAAGAGCTTTAATAACTGAAAAAATGCTTACGTAATCTACATAAAATATCATTCTTCCAAAAATATCTAAGATCAATTGGCTTAGGAACTGGCTTTATAAAGTCTACATTATTTTGCCAGCAATAGACACTAACCTTTGAGGTCAGTTCATGAAAAACTGTCTATTCAGAATTATTAAACTATTTTTTTACTTTAAGAAACATGGGAAATATTAGTTTTACATTATAAGAGATTTAATTTTCAAATTATTATTGGTATATACTTAAGTTATGATCACCAAAATGCTCTTGCTATGATGCTTTCTGGGCAAGCCATATCTATAATACAGCTTTCTGCAAATGTCACAATGTTGGCTGAGTATGCAGGAGTATGAAAGAAACCAAATATTTAGAAGGTGAAAGATAGAAAATAGTTATCCTTTCTCAAGAAGGTATGAGTGCTTAAGGAAATCAGTCCATGCAGCTGTTGTTCACAGAATCATAGGAAAGCAGGGCTGGAAGGGACTTTATAAGATCATCTAGTCTAGCCCCCTGCTCGCAGCAGGATCATCCCCCAACTAAACCATCACAGCCTGCCTGTCTAAACAGCTTTTCAAAGTTTCCAAGGATGGAGATTCTACAACTTTTCTGGGTTGCCTGTTCCAATGCCTGACCAACCTCACAGTCTGAAAATTCCTCCTTATCTCCTAACATAAACAGCTTGGAAAGAGTGCAGCAAAGAGCAACACTGATGATCATGGGCCTGGGAAGCAAGACTTAAGACAAAAGGTTAAAGTAACTAAGGTTATTTAGTCTGGAGAAGAGAAGACTGAGGTGGGAACTGATAAGAGTCTTCAAATACCTGAAAGAGAGGATGGGGCTGGGCTTTTCTCTGTGACCATATGGAAGAGGAGTGGAACCAACAGTCTCCAACCGTAGCAAGGGAAATTAGGTTGCAGACTTATGGTCAGAGTCAGCATCAAGGCTTGATTGTTCTATTCAGTTTGGAAAAACAAAGCAGAAAAAACCATTGCTTCCCCCAAAAGTTTATAAACTGAAATAAAGACCAGAAAAAAACAGATACACATATAAGAAAAACTTACAATACACATGAAAAGTCATCAGGGCAGTAGCAATGCATGGGGGGTGCACGTGCACCCCCTGAGAATGCTGGTGCACCTCTGGACAGGCCACAATCCCTGCTTAGACAACAGGTAGGGGGGCTGTGCCAGCCAGAGAGTGGGAGCACCGGATGAAGTGCTGTGGCCAGTTCTGAGACTGCCACAGCTGCTTCCAGGCCAGTGAGATTGACTATGGCCGGCCCGCCCTCCCCC